GGCAATAAAGAATGCTATTTTAATATTGTCTCACGTGAAAATTCAGGTCAGGTCTTTTATTTTTCTACAGTCTCAACTTGCAAAATCATGACAAATTAAAATCTCCTGCCAAGGTCTGATTAGGCTAGGAAAGGTCAATTTCTGGAATGCACAAAATTACAGAAATAATGTATGTTATACTAAGAATTGTGACATGTGTCAACAAACGTGAGATCCTTCAAGTTTTGGTGGCACAGTTGCCTTTCAGTGTCCTATATTGCTCTACACCTATAAATAATAAAAAGGCTGATAACATTGCTTTATGTAAGCAAGCTTAGAAATCACTCTCAGATAAGTGCTTTTGACCTCAATCTTGTAGCGCCTCGATCTGACACATAACCCCACAACTGTGAAATTCTGCATGAGATTTAATAGTCTCAAACTGCTAACTGACCCAGCCATAAAACAAGTAGAGATAAAGATTTACAGTCCGACATGATACAATTAGACATTCACCTCCTATTTATTTCAGTACAGCTAAGCATTTAACCTACTTAAAAGCTGAAGGTTTTTCTCATTAAAACATAAATGCTTGTTTATCATTTGTTCTATGTCACCTTCTCTGCATCTTACAAATTAGTCTATTATGAATAAAAAGGTTAGTTTGTTTCAGAGAAAGGAGTAAACAGGAATGGTTTCTGTAAAATCCTCCTAGACATGCAAAGATAAAGTTGGCTTTTCCCCACAAAATAATCAGATTCAGATAGCTGTTCAGAGGCAGCACACCTAAGGAGTACTTTAATCAAATATTTAGGTTACCTGCCAAAAAGACCATGATCTTTTCAAAATGCACTGTGGATTAAAGTGTTATCTAGCACAAGCAGAAAACTAACCTTGCCGTGGAAGTTTGAAATGTGTTCATCATAATTTTCATGTCTTTGGATAGAGAAACCCGCTTTTTCAGCTAGATTGTGAAACTGGTTTAGCGTATTCCCTCGGCGTGGGGCAAAGACGATTGCTTTCCCCTAGAACATTAAAAGGTAAATTAGCACATTTAAAAACTGGAAGTCATTCACATATAGCAAACACTGGTCAAAGCATTTAATATCTCACTGTCAGCAGAAAGAGGCCTTCTTTCTTGAGTCACCCACACAAAATTGGCATTCTCTTCAGGGACAGAAAAGTGGTATGCATTTCTATCTATCTTATCTCTGTATCTGTATCTATGTAGAATATAGATAAGGAAGATACATCAAATAAGAAAAAATACACATAGAATTCACACTTAAATGGCCAGCTGCTGTGTCTTATTCTCAAATAATACATATAACAACAACAATAAAAGGTGACTGAAAACTGGTGTTCTTGGTTCACCCCTCTCTGGAGTCCACTGGTTTAAAGCATTGACGAGATGCTGGAGTTCCTGGTCTAGGGCAGTGGCATCCACTTTGTGATGCCTTAGCATCTCTTGACAGCCATATAACAGCAGATTTTTGGAGTATATGTGGCAATGGATGCATAGAAGTATTATTTTATTGTCCCCCTGAAAACTCAGTATCAAGGTGTTCTCAAAGAGACCAATAACCATAATCTTTTGCCGGAGAGTTTTCACATCTCACTCCTTCCATCAGCCCTTGTTGGGACTATGCTGTCAGAATCTGGGCCACAGAAGCTTGGCTTCCAACCTCATCGAAACTCTCATAAAGGAAGATCCTCATAGTACTCACATGACTGCTTTTCAAGGAAAGTGGTAACATGAAAGGAAACAGGTATTTCTCTAAAAGAACCACTCAGTCTTAGGAGATGTAGTGAGGGGGAATAGAAGACCTGAAATGCACACTGTACCTGGTTTCAGAAGACCATCCGACATGAACTTCCTAAGGCTCTAACTACCTCAGAGTGGGAGGTTTTCCCTTCTTTTCCGTGATGCGCACAGAATGACCAAACTCAAAGCCTTATATTTCTTTCTATTCTAAAGATGCCTATCTAATTCTTTTTATTTCAAGGATTACACTTCAGGTTTGGAAGTAGTCATGAAAATTTTTCTCACTTTCTTTTGAGAGATGGTTTATCACCCACACCTACCGGTCATTTACCGGCTGTGACCGTCACTGGGCTAGATGCTCTCTGTGTATTTACCATGACCTCTAATCTCCAAACCACCCTCTTCATACAAGAAAAAGTTGACGAACTGACCCAAGGTGAAACAACTGGTAAATGATGAGAAGCTTATCTACTCGACTACACCCCCAGTGCTCTTTTCATGGCACTGGTATTAAGAGTGGCAGCAATAAAAGTCATAGCTACATGCACTGCAATCTCAAAGGCATGAGGTCCATATCTTGTTGCTCTGTGGGAGAAGAATGTGCACTCTCCTCCGTGTGATTTATTCCACCACCACCGTGCTAGGCACTTTAGAATTGTCCTCTTTCATCCCCTTGACAGTCTTCTCAACAGTCTTATAATGAAGCCACTGCATTTTCTAGATGATTCGACATGCACAGAAAGGTTTTAAGAGTAGAAGGAGAAACTGAGTGAAATAAAGCAATCTGGACTTCAAGGGTGTCTCCACCATGAAACAGATAAGTCATCTCAGGACAAGTGGCAGGGGGGAATCATGAAATTATTGAGCTAGGAAGGACCCTGGGTATGACATAATACAATAGTCAGCTCAGCTAACTCACTGAGTTTTTCTTAGCTATCAAATGGAAAGAGCGAAGCTTGCCCAGTTTTTTCCATTTTTAGAAACACAAGAAGTGAAAGAATGGAAATAAGTTGAAAAGTGGCAAGAAGCTGTGCTGGGATCCCAAAGGCACACAGTTCAAATCCACCTGCTGCTCTGTGGGAGAAGGATAGGCAGTCTTCTCCTGTGTAATTAACTGCCTCAGAAAACCCGCTCGAGGGTCAGTTATGAGTTGACCCAACTTGATGGTATACAACAACAACAATAACGTGATTTGAAAAAAGCCATGTCACCTAACAGTGCTGTAAAAATTCTATCAATTCTCCTTCCTCCATTTCTCCTCCTCCCCCATTTACCTGCAAGCAAATACACAGATGTTCTGGACATCAAGTATGTTTTCATACTGTGTTTACATAGACATGTACACACTCAGGCACATAATTATAACAGCCCCAATCATGCCTCTACACTTAAGGTTCTGTCAGCTCTTCCAATATTAATTGCTATTTTCAGACCTCTTTCAAACTTAGTAGCAAAAACTCATTTGATGTGAAACTAGATATAATACATGGTCTCAGCAGGGGAATAAAAGTCTCCATTTTTTTAAAAAAAAACAAAAGCAGAGGGAATACTAGTAGGTCATTTTAGACATTTCTAAGAGCTGGTTGTCTTTCTGAATCTTTGCATAACATAAGTTGTTTTAAAGTCACTATAAAAAGGACTTTGCAATTACAAGTTAGGAGTAGATCTTTAACAGCTATTATCTAGGCTGTAGATGACAAATGTTCACAGGGCTGGATTTCTGCATTTGCAATCACCTATCAGTCCTCACTGGTGGGTGTGGTAGTCTGCAAAGGGGCTGTAACTCTGCCTGAGGTAGCACTCTTTGTTCAGACATCGCTCTCTTCCTCCACATCTCTGCTTACTTGTCTCAAACCACTCCACCTAAAACAGCACCCCTGCACCGTCATTCTGTACTCCTTTTCTCTGCATTGATTTTGTTCTTAGCACTTACCACCACTGACAAGCATCATATCCTTACTTGCTATTGACATCTCCTCCACCTGGTGGATATGCTTCCTAACTTCAGGATCTTGGACTGATTAATTCACTGAATTCTCTCAGTCAGGAGCCCTGATGGCACAGTGGTTAAAATGGTTGGCTGTGAACCCAAAGTTCAGCAGTTCACATCCACCCACATCTCTGAGGTTGAAACATGTAGCCGACTGCTTCCAGAAATATTTACAGCCTTGCAAATCTATTCTGTCCTTTATGGTCCCTATCAACTTCAGGGCTGTTATTGTTGTTATGTGCCATTGAGTCAACTGTGACTCACAGAGACTGGATGAATAGCAGATCTAGACCGTGTCCCATTTTGTGCCATCCTCACCGTCTCCAGCACACTCAAGCCATTGTTGCCATGCCAATCTATCTGGTTTAGTGTCTTCCCCTCCTATATCAACCATCCACTTTTCCAAGTATGCTAGCCTTCTCCAAGGACTATCTCTTCCTAACAATGTGCCCAAAGTATACGAGACGAAGCTTCACCATCCTTGCTTCTGAGGAGCACTCTGACTGCATCCTCTCCAACATGTACCTGTTTGTTCATTTTGCAGTCCACGGGATATTCAGTACTCTTCTCCAACACCCAACTCAAAGGCATCAATTCTCCTTCTGTCCTCCTCAGTCACAGTTCAGCTTTCAGATGTATAATCTGAAAGCTAATTCAAAAGAGCATGGCTTGGATCAGGCAAGGATTCTGAGGCTCCGTCTAACATACTTTGGACATGTTGTGAGGAGAGACCAGTCCTTGGAGAGGGACATCATGCTTGGGAGGGTGGAGGGACAGCGCAGGAGGGGGAGGCCCTCTATGAGGTGGATTGATTCAGTGACTGGGATAATTGGGATGAGAGTGTCGGAGAAAGTGTGATTGGCACAGGACAGAGCAGAGTTTAGGGCTGTTGTACATAGGGTCGCTATGAGTCGCAAGCGACTCAACGGCACATAACAACAACAACAACAACAAGGTTCTCCTCACCACTTTTAAATTTTTTTTCTCTTTGCAATTCTTTCTTTGATCTCTGCTATTTTTGCCTTTTTTGTTGAGGCTTCAGATTTTTCATGTTTCTTCTTCTTCCTCGCAATAGTGGATAAAGATATCAAGAGACATCTTTGACCCAGTTCTTGCCTTCCTGGTGACCCCTGCTAACAGCACCCTTACACCATGAGAGTCATCTGAGAACACGTCCAGGTTCCAGCCCTCCTGCCCACCCATCGCTGACACTTAAGGCTGGGTTTAAACATATCTTGCTTATTTTTAAAAAATATTTTTCCCCAATAAATTTTTAAGGAGTTAGCGATTACAGCAGTGTTTTAGGGGACATATTTGGTGCCCATTTTTCTACCCAGGAGTGTATAGGGGAGGAGTAGTTTTAATCTCTAGTTGTTGTTACTAGGTGCCATTGAGTTGAGTGATTTTTCCATGGCAACAGATCTGAACCCTGTCCTATGCTGTGCCATCCCAATCATCTCTGACACACCTGAACTTGTTGCTGCAGTTATGGTGTCAATCCATCTCCCTGAAGATCTTTCTCTCTTTTGCTGACCCTCTACTTTTACATTTCCAAGCATGATGTCACTCTCCAAGGAAGAGCCTCTCTTAGCAATATGCCCCAGTATATGAGAAGAATGTTCACTGTCCTTGCCTCCAAGGAGCACTCTGACTGCACCTTTTCCAAGACTTATCTGTTTATTCTTTCGGCAATCTGTGGGAACTCAGTACTCTTCTCCAACACCATAACTCACAGGTATCAATTCTTCTTTTGTCATCCTTATTCACTGTCTAGCTCTCAGATGCATATCAAGTGATTGAAATGTCCACCATCTGAATCAGGCACACCTTAGTCTTCACGCTGACATCATTTTTCCTCAGTGTTCTGGCAAGTGGACTTGCCCAATGTAATGTTTCCTGATCTCCTGACTGCTGGTAGGAAGGCTTTTGATTGTGGATCCAAGTAGGATGAAACCACTGACACCTTTAATCTTTTATCCAGATATCATGATGTTGCTTATAGGTTCTGGAACCAGTGGTGATTATTTTTATCTTTTTGATGTTGAAATGTAATCAATATTGAAGACTGTAGACTTTGATCTTCGGCAGCAACAATGTCAAGCGCTCCTCACTTTAAACGAGCAGGGTTGTATCATCTGCATAATGCAGTTCGTTGATGAGTCTTCCTCCAATCTTGATGCCATATTCTTCTTAATAGAGTCCAGAGTCTTGATGATTTGCTTAGTGTACGGATTGAATAGGTATAAAAAAAAAAGAATACCTAGAAAAAA